CTTCAACTCCCAGAATGCTGGCTGGGGAATTCTGGGAGTTGAAGTCCACATGTCTTAAAGTCGCCAAGGTTGAGAAACCCTGGTCTGAGCTGAGGTTTAAATTTCCAAGTCAACATTTCTCAGGCTTGAAATCCAAAAGGACCACTTTAGAACTTGGAATTTTGATGCCTCCGAGCTACAAGGGCAATTGTCCTTTCTGTTGTCCTTTAGGAAAAAGTCAGGGTCGCTCCTCTTTCAGTGGTTTTGCAGAGTCCTCCAAATGCAATGCTTTCCCAGGAATGGGTGCTGGGATGGGCCATGTTCCTGCTGCAGTGCTGGGAGCTGAAAGGGGGGGACGCATCATCTGCTGACTTGTGGGGCAAAATGGGACCCCAAGGTCCAAGCTTGGGCCCCCCATAGTCTTCACTCACCTGTAGATGTGGGTATGGTTTGGGGTAGTTTGGGGAGAAGAATTGTCCCTCCAAGCTGGTCAAGGTGCCACCACAACCTGGAAAGAGACAATCAACATCCTAGAACTTCATGGACTTATATTACTGGCACGTTACTGGTTTATAACTGTAATGCCCTACAGCCTCCTTATTTTTCCAAATTCTTGAATCTCTCTCCTCCTCCTAATGTGAAGTAGAAAGTGCAAGGTTTTCATCAAAAGGAGATTAACCCAGATTCCAGCAATGGATTTGGGAATCTGGCAAGTGAATCTCACAAAACCCCCTCCAAGAACTCAGGGCGACGATGTGTCTTTTCATTTGAAGGCTATCTCTGTGAAGCAAGACCTCCCAGCTAGGGCTTTTTCTCCAGATCGGATCTAAAAATATAAAGGTTGCAGTGAAAACCTACTGAAGTGACCTTTCGTTCATAGCTGAGCCATCTGGCCAATCTTCTCCACTAATATGAGACGTATTGCATTGGAATTATAAGATTTTTGGTTTTGCATATATGCATATCATTAGGGCATGCACATTCTATGTAAAATGTTTCTTCCTTTTTGGCAGATGTGAAAATGTCCATCCCATATGGGAATCCATGCTCTCAAGATCCTCGTCGCCTCAAGGCCCTGACTGTAGCCCAAACTCCACTTCCAGAAACATCTGTGTGGTTTCATGGGATACACAATGCAGAATTTGATGCACATTTGGTCTCATCCAGTCCTGAATGTCCTTTAACGCTTACATTTTAGACAAGGCAAACGTTTGGTCCCCCAGCATTGGTGCTCAACTTCCCAATACAGTAATGGCATTTGCCATTGAGGTTTGGCCTTACCTCATTCTTGTAGCATGGCCTCGTGGTCATATTGACATTGCTTCCTCCAGACAGGCTGGGGTACAATTCCTACAATTCCAGCCAACGTGACCTGGCTGGGACATCTGAAGAAAACCTGGAAGGCTGTAACCTTGAGCTTTTCCTAGTTGTGCATGTGTCATACCTGTGTGCTTGGTGCTACAGTTGGCTTCGTCCTTCTTGTCCTGGCACTCCTGGTGGCCATCACACACAAAGGCTGGCAGGAGACAAAGTCCCTGGTCACAGAAGAATTCATCCCAGGAGCAGTTCTCTAGAATAGACAAAGACTTCTGGAAATCAAGGAGCTAAGAGCAGATCAGATCAACACTGTCTTGGAACTGGTTGTAATTGTCTTGGCTCCCTTCTTCTCCAAGTTATTTTGGGGATTGTAGCTTTGCAAGGGGACAAAGGAGAAGGAGAAGGAGAAGGAGAAAGAAGAGAAGCACCAATCCTGTAGTTTCTTGAGTGGTGATGATCAAGGCTCATTTCTCATTCTCTCTACTTTTAAAAGATTTTAAGCCAGTTTGAAACTGTCAAGCAAACTGGTCTCTTGTTTTCCTCACCCATTTAGAACTTTCCCATGCTCTGAGAATAAAATTAGCCCATGTATTCATGTGATAGTGAGTAATCAATCAGTGCTGGGATAATTGTGAATGTTCAACTCTGTGAAACATTACAGCAATTTTCCCATTGTGTCATTTATATGGGGACAATCATCACCTTTGTTTCGAGGCAAATAAGTCTGCTCTTTGGCAGCTTATGTCTGGAGAGAGTGCTGTGTGGCTGGGCCCGTCCTCTTCTCCAGTCTCCATCCCCAACCACGTTGTGTTTGATACCCAACACTCTGCATCTCTTCTTAAAGCCGATGAGAAGCTCTTTGGGGGCGGGGGGCTCACTTTTGCTGTTTTGCTGGGCAGCCGAACCTACGAGAACACCTCAAGGATGTCAAAATGTGTTCTGGGTCATCTTTGAAGACCCTCTTTATATCTTCACATCTCATCATTTTAGAGGTCTGAACAGTTGGTGGAAGTATAAGTAGCCGCGCTCTTTATAGCTATGGCCACTGAGCTGTGGGATTTCTCCTTCCAGGACACTTATCTCAGCCAAGAGGCCAACCGTATATAAAATATGTCCTCTCCTTTTTCCTACTGGAAAAGCAGAGAGATCAGCTGGAACCTTTTCCCTGATCAGATAGGGCTGCTTTGTTGCACCTATGGATTTCAATATTGTCTTCTTCGGCCTTGTCAATTGTTTGTCTTTCCAAAAAATGTCATTGGAAGTTGTAGGGTTTCAGTCTCTTTTAATTTCGTTACCAAGTGCCCTTCAGGGACAGAAAGTCAGGATACTGTATTAAAAAAAAACCCAAACCCCAAACCACACAGAGCAAATCTCCCCCTTCCTGTAATTTCTCCCCTTTCCAGAAATTGCAGGCACTTACTTTCACTGGGTAGGATGGCCCGGTACCTGGCAGTGAACCCCGAGGAAGCGATATTATCATCGGAGACAAAAACAACCTGCATCTGGTTAGAATTGGTGTTGATAGTTGCTGGGGCTACAGGGCCACAGTACCTGTAAAAGTCACCAGGTAAGCAAGAGAGCAAGGAGTTGTGGATCCCCCCTTCCCCCTCAAGAGACCTCTACAGGTAGTCCTCGTTTAGTGACTGCCTCATACAGGGATTGTTCACAGTTGCGATGGTGATGAAAAAGTAACCGTACAACCAATCCTTGCATTTACAACCTTTGCAGGTCTGTAAAGCAAAGGAAAGCTGAAGTCAGATCACAAGCACAGCCGCGGTTTCACTTAGCGACTGCCCTGCTTAACGACTGAGTTGCCGGTCCCAATTGCAGTCGCTAAATGAGGACGACCTGTATTGCTCTTCCTGCTGAAAGTCAGCTTCATTTGTTTTATTTATTAAAGGCATTCTAGTAATCCAGTTCTACACTGTGGAGCAATAATCCAAAAACTAAATAATAAAATGCAATTGTTTGCTTTTAATTAACTTAAATGAAAATGCCTGGATCAATTAAAGCAGGGCAAAAATAGGCCTCCGTTGAAAGCGGAGGGTGAGGGGCAAAGGGAAAAGGAGGACTGCCCAAGTAGCATCTTCAACAGTGGAAGGGGAGGGTTTTCTTTAGGTTGGTTTCCTAATGAAACACAACTGCTGATTTTAGGGAAGAACTAGAGGTAAGTCCATTCAGACAGCCTGGTGGTGTCAGCCCCACTGGGTAGACCAGACCAGGAAATCAACTCTGCAGGAAGGCTAAAACCACTTTTGCTGAGCTTGGTTCTAATGACAGAATCTGGTTATTGTCCTGCACCACCTTCTCCATCTTCTTATACTCCAGTGCAGTGTTTCTCAAACTCGTGTACCCGTCCAAATGGTGTGGGGGGGGGGGAGTCAAACACCCCCACATGAGATCAGGGGACAGGGAGGCACAGCGTAGTTG